TGGGGCTGCGGGCTCCGCGGCGGTCCCCTCCTCCCCGGCCTTCACTGCCGCCTCCCGCTCCTTCAGCCGGCGGAACCTCGGCGGCTTGTCCTGCCTCGGGGGCCGTGCTGGCCGGGGCCGGCGTGGCCTCTCGCGGCTACTCCCGCCCGCCTCCCCGAACTTCTTGGCCTCAAACTTAGGAGGCCGTCGCTCGGAGGCGTTGGCTTCCAACCTGGAGTTTTCAGCCTCCTCGGGGTGAAAGGTCTCCATGGGCCTGGAGGGCCACTGAGAGGCATCCTTCATGCCCGGCCGCCTGAGAGGGGCTGACCTCTGGCCTCCGCGCTCCCGACCGCTGCCCCTGCGGCTGTACATGCCCCCTCTGCCTCGTCGGGAGGGCTCTCCCTTGGGTAAGAAGCCCGGCTTAGGCCGCGCCTCATCCTCCCGGGAGCCTGGCTTCTCCGTTGGCTGACTAGTGCAAAAAGGGGCGCCCCCTGTTGAATTCGATAAGGCCTTTGATCCCCGGCGGGCAGGAGCCCCAAACTCTCTGCGTGGTGGCCGGCTGGGCTTGGCACTGCCCTCGCGGTCCGATGCTCCAGTGTCACTGGCCGAGTCTCGCCCCTCACTCTCTGAATCCGTGTCCGAGCCGCGCCGCCGACGTCGCTTGGGCAGCACCTCAAAGTCGGAGCTTTCACTGCGCGTCTCGCTCTCCTCCCTAGGCCTGAACCCCGTACCGCGGTTTCCAGGTGCCACCAGGGGCAGGTCTGACCGGGAGCGTGGTTCCCTGAAAGGGTACTCCCCCCGGCTCCGACCCCGGCTTCCCCTAGCACGACCGCCATAGCTGCCCCGATAGCTACGCCCACGGGAGTAGTACTCGCCCCGACCACGGCCCCTATAGTTCGGCTCTGAGGCCCAGTCTCTCTCCCTGTCTCGATCCCTCTCCTTCTCTCTGTCCCTGTCCCGGTCCCTGTCCCTGTCTCGGTCCCTCTCCTTCTCTCTGTCCCTGTCCCTGTCCTCCCTCCGGTAGGCCCTGGGAGGTAAGTTGGACTCCTTCCTAGAAGGCAGTTTGGGTTCTGGTTGCACCTTCTCTCCATTCGAGGGTTTATCCGTTTTCTCGTCTCTAGCAGCCAGCCCTGGCACCCCAGCTGGGCCTTGTGGCCCTCTGATTTTTAATGCCGTGCCACTCTGCTGGTCAGCTGGATCCGGGGCCGCAGGAGGGTCCCTCTTATTCTCGCTGGGAGGCTTCTGGTTCTCGCCAGGAGGCGCGGACGTGGCTTTAGAACCGCCGTCCTTCCTGGGACGGTCGCCGCGCTCGTGCCGCTCCTCGCGCTCCTTCCTCTGCTCGCGCTCCTCCTTCATGTCCCGCAGCACCGGCTTCTTGATGGGGCCCGAACGGCGCACAGGGCGCTCGTTCCCAGCTCCCTCCCTGCGGCCCGGGCCGGACCTCGGGCCCCATCGCGTCTCCGACTTTGGTTTGGGCGCAGCTGGCACAGGAAGCTTGTCCGCTTTGTGTGGGCCATCGGCTGGTGGAGTGGCCCTGCTGCTGGACGGGGGCCCCTGGGAGAAGGGCTCCTTTTTGTCTTCAGGCTCCTCGTCTGCTCCCGACGGTCCCAGCGTCTTTGGGGAGACGGATGGACCTTCAAAGCGGGCCTCGTCAAGCTTGAGGGAATGACTTGAGCCTTGGGAGATGCTCCTCTTCAGTCCCATCATCCCTCCCTCCTCTCCACATGGCACGCTGGCTTCCTGTGGGTCATAAACCGGTACCAGGGGGCTCCTCTCGGGCTGCAGAAGCCCTGGCAGCTCCTCCGGCCCTCGATTGGGGAAGCCAAGCCCCTGCTCGGCCGCATCCCTGAAGAAATCACACTTGGTGCGGGGCTCCAGGGGGCTGGGCTCCTGGGGGTACACGGAGGAGACACTCCTCTCCAGCTCAAGAGCGGAGTCCAGCCTAAGGAAGAAGCAGAGACCCATATGGACCTGAAATTCAACGGCAATCTGCTGCAAAGTTCAAGATGTATCCTGTTTGAAGTGAAGAATGGTGAAGAGTAAATCTAGTCTTATTTCCTCAAAAGTCACTTCTTTAGAGATCATTCTAATGCTGAAACTAAATTCATGCAAGTCCTTTAACTGGTTATTAATTTCGTGATGAACTAAAAACACTTCTTGTTCAGATTTAATCTTTTCAGACCAAATGACTAAACATCAATCATCGATACAACTAACAGCGATAAATGACTGATTTGCATGTGATAGCACTGGTCAGAAGATAAGATCTACAAGTACTCGTACAGTACTGACAGGTACCCTAATACTCCTGCTCTTACCTGGATTCCTTGGTTTCCTCCTGACTTTTTGGGGGTGTAGCAGCAGGCAGGGGCTCAGTCTGGGTGTATGGCTCAGAGCCCCACACCACACGTGGCTCAGCAGCTAGTCCGTGCTCCCTAACGGGACGGGATATGTGGTCAAAGGCGTCCGATCCTGAAGCTGCATTTTCTGCTGGGTCTCTGCGCACCAGCTGTTTGGGGGGCATCCTCCCTGTGCGGACATAAGAACACCCATCAGGTCTGGTCCCAGGCTGAAAGGGAAATGTTTCCTATTGACAGAGCAATAACACTGGCTTGTCCACCCACTGCACAGGACAACTGGTTAGCCCATAAATACTACTGCCACCACCACAAGCACAAACAAAACTGAAAAGGGAAAAAATCCTGAATAATAAATTCAAGCATGCCAGTTGTGTTCTCATCAAGGTCCACAAAACGTACCTGACAAAAAGCAGCTTTATAAGTCAATAATGGCATGGTGCCAGTATGTATGCAAGGCTCGGCCTCCAGCAGAGGAGGGAGGAGGGGTGGAAAAAAAAACGAC